TTATAGATTTAAAGGCTTGACCACAGACATATGGTCATTTCGAAGGTGGATAATAATGTATAGTTGTGACAAAACATAAACCTCATACATAATTTGCGTAACTTAACAGATTTCGGTTATCTTTCATTTCATTTACTCAAAGTTCTCGTACCTTTCGAGTAAAGAGAAGCACATCGTCACAATAATGGTCACTTACCGCTGGGAAAGAGTAAGACAGATAGAAAAGAAGCAAGAAGCAGGACCTACCAGTGACGCCCTCCAACCACCCACAAAGTGCAAAGTTCTCGTAAAGAGAAGTAAAAATTAACAAAGTATCAAACGTTTCGAGGCCGTAAGCAGCAACGCCACAAGTCAGAAGCAATTTAAGAAGAGCAAAGAAGTAGGGGCTACCAAGGGCGCTCTCCAACCACCCGCTCTGTAAGAACGGAGCATTAAATGACTGGAACGCTTCCATGAGATAAGGCAAACCGGTGCCACGCTGTTAAGTTCAACCAGAAAACTACACCCGGCGCAACGTTGACCAAAAAAAAACCCCAGGTCACTAGATAGAATTTAGAATTAAAAGAAGTAGTTTTTATACACATTATTCTATGAAATATATATATAGAAATATGTAATAACATTACACTAGATTCTTGTACAGTTGTTTGCTTTTTCTTACAAACTCCTTAAACAATTCGTGGTAAAACATAGTCTTCACAGCCTTATTCGTCATGAACAAGCATGATTAATTCTTTGCCTGAATAAGGAGAAGCACATCGACAATTTCGTGCAAGAAAAAAGAAAACAAAAAGACCTAGAGACAAATACAATGAGTAAAATAAAGATGTAGAACCTACTTGTTATAGCACCCTCCAACCACCCACCAAGAAGCATGTCACAGAAACACATTATATATATTCCACAAACCTTGCTTCTTGACCCCTCTACACCCCGCTGTGTTTTAGTGCAAGTATAACGTTTTACGGCACTTGCGACACAAAAAGGTCATACTAGTTCCGAAGATCAGAGAGGTGTTACAGGAGAATTACAAACACAAAAAAAGGAGGAGAGGTAAGGGCAACAGAATGATTGACAAGAAAGAAAGAGCAAACCACACCAGAGACACCCGCCAACCACATTCTCGCCCCACAAATAGAAGCACATCAATAAAATAACGGTTATTTATAGTCCTTGGGGGTGGGGGGTAAGAACTAAAGACAAAAATTACAGAATGAGAATAATAAAGACGTAGTTCCTACATGTAGCACCCCCTATAAGTTCCACTGGTGTTTGGTAATGTTGCAAGGTCAGCACGGTGGTCAAGCCTCGGGCTGGGGCCAAGCGGTAATCCTCTGGCACAGGCAGCATAGTCGGCCCACGAGCACTGACCCGCTGCGGATTAAGAACCGACACACACACACACACACACACACACACACACACACACACACACGCACACACACCTACCTCTCTCTC